ACAAGTCACTTATCATCTAAAACACTTATTCTAAAATATAGATTTTCAGCTTCAGTGAGAAGTAATATCAGCCAGTGTACATGTGTTCTTCATTATAATAAGCTTGAAAGCAGTTTTATACACAATCAATTGGCTTCATTTACCAACAACACAGTGATCTAACAGTTAAAAACTCCTATATTCTACTTAAAAGTCACGAATTTGAATTATAAGTTTATTATAAACTGATGGTGATTGGTTTATAATGATTAATTCCTTGAGACCAAGGATTTAACTCTTGTTTTCTACTTGAAGGTTACAAGTTCAAACCTCATTAAGGACATAGAGCTCGCCACTTTATGGATGTATTTATAAACTGGTGGTGGTCGGTTTATAATGATTAATTCCTTGAGACCAATAATTTCTCACTAGTGTGTTGATAATACTGCGGTGATCAAATGAGGTTGAGTCTCAAGGAATCTGGGCAAAAAAAAATATTCCATGATAATTATATTCCCTTAGTCGGGGTAGTCATAATGGGTTAACAATCTAATCTAACCATTTTTTTATTAAAACGAAAAGAATTTATTTTAAAAACACTTTAAATGCCCATTCAGTGTTCAATTTAATAAAAAATATTTATTTTGAAAACTCCTTAAATGTCCATTGTGTTCAATTTAATACTCAGATGCAATTAGCAAAAGATAGTAAATGATGCAAGAACGAAGTAAGTTAGTTTCTAAAAGCATTAGAATTTCCTTAATTTTTCATTTTGTCATTGGAGATTCATTTTGCAAACTGAGATTAAGATTTATTACTATCCTCTTAACTTCAAAATTTTCATAAGTCAGCTTTTCCTATTCAAACTTATGAAATAAAGGCCACAATTGACTAGAACTTTCTGGTTAGGGATTTCAGTAATCTTCTTTTGCTTTTATTATCAAGCTTTAGGTAATGTTTTGTGCTAAAACTGACAATTCATCACAAGAAAAAGACCAGAAATTTTCCTAGAAAAAAGAAGACTCTTTCTCTTATTAGTTGTACATCTTGACGACAACTTAGGCCCTAGTATTTTATCGGTTCTACCTTTCCTCAACCCTCTACTTTGTGTCCACAAGCTTGCTAGCTTTTCTTTTTTCTTTTCTTGTCTTTCTGGAAAGATAGCTCTGGGTTAGGTTATCTACGTTAATCTTCCAAGCTTCTTCTTTTTATTTTTTTAATCTCCAGAACTGAGTTTTAAAGTGAGAAAATACTTCCAATAAGCCTCAAGCTACAAACAAAGAAAGTGAAGACGAGGCATCATGACAAATTGCAAAAGGACGACATACAAATATACCTGAATTCTAAGAGATACACCCTGGAGTTGTGATTTTAGTTTATAAAACTTTTCAATCTGATGACGAGTTCTGATAAGATCCTTTGCCATCACCTTCACGGCTCCCTGAAAGAAAATGGGAGTAAGGTTAAGATAAGGGAAGTACTAACACACTTGTGTCTAGAAATAATGAGTCCCATTTGTCTTTAGTTTAAGATAAGTAAAGTACTTAACCATTCATGCCTAGACAACAAGAAAATTTAAATAAATAAACCATGAAATGATGCTTATTGGTTTACATTGAAGACAACAAAGTAAAACTGGACATCTAAATAAAGTTTCAATATGATAGACTACAAGTTCCATGCTATTTCAAACATATGCAACATAGCTTCGTATTTCTATAATAGAATTTTCTTTTCATCATTTATATTCAACTGTGCTAACCAGATGCAAATAGAATAACATCCCTAAGTACAATCAAAGAAACATGTTGGAGTCAGCGCTTCCATGTCCGTGCTAACCGGATACAAATATGCAAGTAGCTCATTCAACAATGGGTTCCCAGACTATGACTTGCGAGACATATTGGAAAAAGGATTTTTATCACTAAAATCTTCTGGGGAGGAAAAAGAAAGGAGGAAGAAATATTTCAGCTATGCTATAACTGATGCTTTAAGTTTCAACAAAAAGTTTAGCATGCAATGAAGCAGGCTTATCAGAATGGAAAGTAGAAATGATCTTAAAGATTTTGCTTAAAAATTAAAACATGTATTATCCTGATTATGTTATGCAATATGCATTAAGTTAACACAGTGTCTGAACCTGCACTATAGCAAAGATATCCAAAGAAAGCAATATTCAGTGTCTTCCTGATTGGCAAGGGATAGCTATACTTTTAAAATAAATCTTTTCTCTTGGCTTCATTTGAGGAAACAATTTGGTTAGTCAAGAAATTCTGTCAGCAAAAGATCAAGCAGAAGACCAACATAGCGAAATCAGCATACCATCTGCCCTTGCTTGGCACTTTTCTTTATCTCCGCAATTAGTTTCTTCTCCTGTGCTTGCAGACCCTGCCTCTCCCTCTCAATCTCCCTAATCGATTTGTCAAGCATTCTCTTATTCTCCCGCAGAAGCTCTGAAAGCATAACCATAATTAGCTCCAATCATAAGCAGGGAAGTTTATCTTTGAAAAAGAAAGAAAAGATGCTGCAACAAATCCACATTAATTATCAAATTCACTATGCTCAACCATTCACCATCTAACAATCCATGGTGTCAGCAAAGGAGAATATGCAATTTCTTCTTGGAAACAATTGCAGGCATCAAAGTTAGAATTGATAGTTTGCCTTTATCTACTTCTACACATATATTGAACGAAGCATACACTGTTCAATATTGCATCGATCATAAACATATTTGTTTCAATGAATTGACCTGCACCTGATTGACCTTCAAAAGAAAGAGAATAGATATCTCGGAATAGAAACCACGAAGGCATGTTCAGATATCCCGTAAAACAATTTTCTTCAACAATTCATTCAGACGATGGACGTACAAGACAGAACAAACCATAACCACTTAAACAAACCACGATGTAATGTTACATCAGTCGTCTTCTCAAAATCAAAAGGAATAACAACGCTAAAAACCCTAAGTATGACCAATTGACAGTTACAATCCAGACGTCTTCCCCTAGATGCCTCTAATGAGTTTTTCGCAGTTGCACATAGTTCAATGAATTAACAACAATCCCCAGAAATTCCTCGATAATCAAGCTATATTTACGAAAACTAGAGGCAAGAAATCGTAAAAGAAGGGCACACCTGCAGGAGTTTTTCTCTTGCCGAAGAGGAAACTCATGACGATAGAAGAAGATGAGAATTTGGACGAATATAAGAATTTCGGTGATAGATGAAGCTATTGATTAGAGTATAAATGATCGGTTTAGTCGGATCGGAAATGAAATTTAAGGGGGAGTTATCGTCGATGGAAGACTTCTTCTGTGAAGGAGCTTTGAAGTTAATCAACGGGAATATTTGATCATCTCCTCTTCTCTTCTACGCGGTGTGTTTGTGGAGTGGTTAAGGAATTGAATAATCAGCATTCACACGTGGCCCACCTCGACAAATTCTTTTGCATTAACCTTTAATGCTATATCATAATAATACAATAGAAAAATATAAAGAAATGAGAGATGTAACGACACAAAATTTTATAGGTAAAGAAAATTCTTCGAGGTCAAGGCAAACAATAATATTCATATATTTTTATAAAAATTATCATTCTCACAATTAATTTTAATATATTTTAACTATAACTTACTATAAACTATTTAAAAAAATTTTCTAATATACTTGAAATTTACGAGGTCATATGAGTCTTTAAAATTGAAAAGATCAAATTCACAAAAACAAGTGTTTTTCTATCTTTTGCTCTTTTTAAGCAAAATCTTCTTATCCCGACGATTCTTCGCCTTGGTCCTATACTCTCTGTTCTAAAATTATAAAAAAGAGTGATCCACCATTTGCTTAGCAAAAATAGTTTATAACTCTAATCTAAATATCATAGATAATATACTGATTTAAATCATTATTTTTACCTTAACTCACAATGTTCTTCGCAATCATATGATTTTTATACCCCACTATAACTACATCGATCTTATCAATCACATCTTTTCGTTTTTCATATATCTCATTTCAATTCAAAGAATAATCATCATTTCTCAATTTTAATAGCATAACATCATAATCATATTGATTGCACATATTCATATATATAATATCTTTTCTTCTCATATATTTTCAAATCATACAACAAGTATCTACAATCACATAACTACATTCTAATAGATTACTTTTGGCTCATAAATGGAATATCATATTTATATTAATTTTACATATTCACATAACAATAAATTCGCATCATTCGGTAAACATAACCAATATACATGCATAAACCGTATTGTTTCATATAATACCGTTTAGCCACAATCATGGGAGGAAATAATACTCAAACTAGAAACATGGATCTAATCACAATTACATATTCATATGTCATAATTAGTATCATACTTACAATTATAATCATATTTAAAGTCACAATCATAGTTACGATTCACATTGTCCTCCAGGGACACAAGTCATAGTTACAGTGATAGTTACAAAGTAATAAATGCTCAGTGAGATAAAATTCATAATCATTCCTAACTTATCTTGGACGGTACATATACTCACATATCAAAGATAAGGAAGATTTTTACTACTAATCCAAAGTATTTTCCATCATAATTTGCTTCATATAATAATACATTTACATTTTTACTTAATTCATTTTCATTCTAGAACTCATTAACTTCTAAAATATCTTAATTTAATTAGGATATTAAAAGATGGATAACAACATTTAAACTCTAAATTATTTACGTCATGAATTAGTTAAATTCTCTACTAATTCATAGTTACCCAACGATTTATTTATATATATATATATTCTCATTATACGTTATCACAATTCAGTTAATCACAACTCCTTTAAAATTTCACATTAATTATTAAACTAAGTCACATATCTAATATTTATTTCAGGTATTATATTAATTAATAATGATAACTTTTATAAAAAAAATTTTAAAATTGTAATAAATTTCCTCAACCAATATTCTGGATTTCTAGCCTATCCTAATCATTCTTGTTTCCTAGTCTGTTACTATTCACTACCCAAAATGTAGTTTACCTTTTTAATTGGCCCATATAATTCTTAATTCAAATTTACTTTATTTGCAATTGGGTTAGAGGCCCGATGAAACAACCAATTTAATTAATTTTTCAATATTACTCATTCTTTCTGTAACACCCCGAACTTTTTTGTGTTTAAACGTGGTGTCAAACTCTATTATTTTAGGCTTCATGGTCATTTAAATTATATCGGTATTTTAGTTTAAAATTATTTTATTTTTATTTTTATTAATTATTTTAAATTTATTCTTAAATTATTTTAATTTGTTTTAAGTATATTTTCAGGAAAAAGAAAAAAAAAATCAGAAAAAGGAAAAATTCCCAACGATCACACTGCGTGAGCCTGTGTGTCAGCACCTATGTGGCACTATGCGTGCAGACATGCTCGTAAGTACCTGTTCCGCGCGCAGAGTACGCATGTCGTGCATGCTGTTAACGCGCAAACATGCTCCTTATGCGTACGAACGTGTCTGCCTTGTGGACATGTCCCATCCACGGACATGTTGGCCATGCAGACATCACACCCGCCACTTATCCCCCATGGATAGTTGCCACGTGGTAAGCATCCAAAGCCCCTCCCAAGTGTATTTAAAGTGCTTATTCTCCCCATTTTCCCCTCATTTTTTCATTTCTTCTCCCTTATTCCACTTTCAAAAGAAACTTAAAGAGAGAAAGAAGGAAGTAGGAATTCTCAAAAGGCTCTTTTTTTCCTCTTCCAAAAGATAAATCAAACTATGGTTACGATAATGGATTCTTTGATATTTTCTCTTATATTTCTAAATAAGCGTTTCTAGAAAAGATAAATTGAAATGTTGAATGATTTTGATTCATGAATCTCTATGGTGATTAATTTATTGTTTTTATTCTGATATGAAATATGAAGTGTTGAGCATGATGCATGAAAAACACGATAATTAGAAATGCATGTGAGTTGACCCTTTGCTTACCATTTGGTATAAGCAAAGAAAGTTGTTCTAGTGGGCCTTGGCTCAAGAGGATGACCCAAAGATTAAGTTCAGGTGAAATAGGCTTTACGCCGGATATGTATTTAGATCCCAACCAGGTTCTAATCATGAGACTGTTATGATTGTACATCAAATATGAAAGAGAAAATAATGAAAATCTGTTTAATTATTATCTCTAAGGGGTTTCTGTCTCTCACTACTTTGAATATGAAATGTTTGTGAACTACTGCATGTGAATGATCGGCATTCTCTATAATGAGAATGAATACACGATAGGATATATAGGGTCATAATGGCGACATACAGTCGTGGTCATAGATTATACCCAATATGAAAATGGAACTGATCCAATATGGATATAAAACTGACCCTATATCATAATGAAACTAATTCGTCATTCACAGTGGTAGCTGGGGATCCCCTCTGCCTTCAGTGAATAGATGTTGTAACAATTTCACGCGGAGATTGATAAAAGACTTAAATAAAACACAAACATGACTAGAATAGTTGTTGATACTCTACGGTAATTTTGTATGATGGTTCTTCTACTTTATCCTAATCTTCTTGTGTTCTTGGTTGGTTCATATAGTTTCTATTATAATGCCTGATTATGATTGACCATATTATCTATCTTTTTTATTCAATATATTAATGATGTTCATATATTTTTTTAAAGAAGATAACAGTCTTTTCTAAATATTTGAATTTAGTTCATCCTGCGAAGACTTATAAGGAAAGTTATTTAATTAAAAAACAACGTTTTATTTTAAAAATTAATCACCTTTACAAACGTTAACTGTGTAGTTTAAATATTATTTTTCTTACTAAATTTATGAAACTCACTCCAATCTATGCCTACATTCATATAATAGAAATGATTATTCGCTCACTAAGTTGTTCCTTGAAGCTTATTTTGATCCCTTCTTAGATCCTTAGGATGATTACGAGTGTTTTATTTTGTCCATACTCTGATGATACATGTTGTAATTATTAAAATGACTCTTACTTTTTTATATTCTTATTTTGGTAGCTAACTTTTGGCATCGGGTGTTAAATGAACCTTTGATTTTTGTTGTAAGTGATTTCTATTTTCTGTTACATATATTTTTTTACTTGCACCCATATCTGTTTCTATTATCAGGCTCCCTTATACTCCACTCCACCAGGTATATGGGATGTTATACACTTTCCATTCTCAGTATATTTTGAATTAATGTAACCCCTCAAACTAAACATAATCCTACTCCCTTAACCCATTTATTCGGGTTGGGCTTACTGAAATTTTAATTGTTCTTATTCTTTTCCAGTGGGCTAGGCCCACCAGATTTTGGTTTCCTTCATCTTTTATTTTATTTATTATTATTTTGCTTATCTAGCCCATTACTATTCATAGCCTAGTCTGTAAAATATTCCCTTTTATCTAGTTTATAACTTTCCTCATAAGGACCAAAGGCAACCCAACATTTAACCCATCTAGACAATTTCTCTAATATGCCTTTATTGTTAATTAGTTTTGTTTTCTTTCAAACTTACCCCAATCCACTGCTATATCTTATTTAAGCTATGGGCTCAACTCATCCTACCTGGGCCTTCCTTTTTTTCTTTATTATTTCATTTTATTTTAGCCCAATCCACTACTGCATACTCTTTAATGCCTGCAGGTTCAACCCATTCTACCTGAACCTTCCTTCTTCCTCTTTATTATTTTCTTTTCTTTTCTTTTTACTCATTAGACCCAATCCATTAAAATTTTGAATCCCACACTAAACCCATTTCATTTGTAGGTTTATTCTACCTGACTTCCTTTTTGGATTACATAATTATTATTATTTTTAGCTTTTTATTTCATTTTCCTCCCTTAATTAATTAACTAAGCCCAACCTAGAAATCCTCATGGCTTAAGCTCGAGCTAAGGAAAACTAAAGCCTAGGCCTCATGGGTACAACAACTTGACCCCAAACCTGAACCTCCTTCCATCTTCTTCAACCATTGAAAACTCTATTTGCATCTCAAATAATCCCAGACCACACCTTTATCACAAATCCTCAACCATTTCATATTTCACTCATTCACCAAATAACCCATCAATAATATTCACAAAAATCAATAAATATTATAATCCAATAATAAGCAATGAGTCTAAATCAACTATATTAACTTAAATATAGGGATTTAGAGTATAAATTATTCTTGCTTCTCTAGACTGAGGATAGACAATGGTCGTGGTGCGATGAATCTTTCTTTTATCTATTATCTGCACAATATGAGCCAACAAACTTTAAGTTACCTTAGTATTTAGCGTAGAACGCCGAAGTATCTTCAAGTTCTAGATTAAAATGGACATAAGTCATCTAGGATGAAGGATTTAACTTTGCAT